GGCGGCGCGGAGCGAGGGGCGGCGAGCGAGAGGGAGGGGGCGATCAGGGAGGAGGACGCCCCGCCAGCGGGCCCACAGGTGGGGCGGCATGCGCCAGGAGGGCGGCGCGAAGGCCAGCGGGTGGGAGGGGGCGAACAGGGAGGAGGACGCCCCACCAGTGGGCCCACAGGTGGGGCGGCATGCGCCAGGGGGGCGGCGCGAAGGCCAGCGGGTAATTGGCGAGTGGGGTCACGGCGCTGATGTGTCAGGCGCGCAACGAACTGTTGCAAGTCGGTGGTGTGACGGCGCACCTCCGAAGGGGCATGAAGGTGCGCCGGCGCCCGGGCGGCCGGCGCCCGGGCGGCTGGCGCGGGCGGGCGCGGGTTTTCACGTCGAGCGTCCGCGCCGCATCTTAAAGGCGCGGCGGCCCTCGCAGCCCGCGTGGCACGCCGCGAAAGCTGCGCGCATTAGTGCAGCGTCGCGCGGGCGTCTGGCGAGAAATCCATGCAATTCATACAGCGCGCTTCCTCCCTGCGGGACCCGGCGCGTCGGAAAGACGAGCGCTGCGCAGCTGGCCCGTGGAAAACAAGAGCCACCGCGCGGAAGCAAAGCGTTCCGACAGTGGCACTCGCGCAGCGGGAATGGGGCGCGGCGCGCGCGACGCGCGATTGATTGTGTTGAAGACGCGTTCGGGGCAAAACTTCGGCGGGAGATGCCGCGTTAGTTTTTTGTCGTCGGAATGGTTTCATTTTGGTTTTGCACATAGGATTGGGCCCGCTGGCTCGCGCGGGCTGCTTCTTTTTTCATACAAATGTATTACTATTGATTTCCAATATTTGTTTTTGGGGGGGGCGCGCGTGTTTCGCATATACAAGGAAGGGGGCTGGAAGGGGGGGCAGGGGCCCTGCGGCAGGGGCGACCCCGCCAGGCCGCCGAGGGGGCTCAGCTTCAGCTCGCTGACCCTGCAACAGTTCGGCGCGACTTCAGACCCGTGGCGGAAGGGAGAGAGACGGCCCGCCCTGGTGAAAGGTGCAGATCTTGAGCCAGGCACGACTTCAGAATTTGAAGATGCCACAACAATATCCGAAATCTGAAGGCAACTACCGTCAGGGTACTCTGTCGGTCGGCACATCCACCCCGCGGCGGCAAGGCATGGCGATGTCGTAAGATTCCGGGCGCGCTGCACTTGCGTCGCGGTCGGCTGCGATCGGCGCCCCGTGCTTCGGGCGTTATGTGGGCGTGTCCAATCCCTGCTGCGGTCGCGGCCACGCGCCGCCTGCGCGCGCCTGAATAGTTACCCGCGTGCATTTCCCTATGCAGATGTCGCGGGCGAGGCCAGCTGCGCTGGGCGATCGACCCATGCCCTCCCGGCCCCCGCTCAGGCAAACAAGCGGGGCCGCGTTCCATGGACCAACGAAAAGAACCCCAGTCGCCATCGAGCACAGCATCATCGGGTTTGTTCGGTGCCCGGGCCGAAGCGCTAGTTGATGCATGCCGTCCGTTCCCCATTGATTCCCAAAGCCTTGCGCATGGGTTAGCAGCGGACGATTAGCGAAGAAAGCAAAGTCGGACATGCGCGCGGGCGACCAAGGCCGGCGCGAGAAGGCCCGCGCGTGGCAAGCCCTCCTGCTGGCCGTGACCAGAGCAGGGCCAATAGTCACTAAAACATGTGTTCGCTTTTTCGGATATATCCACTACCCATGTGCTTTATGTATTAGTGCACAACGACAAATCGTTAAATCAAACTGCCTAAGTAGCGCGTCATTCATCGTGTCCCTCGTAAGCGCTGCTCGCGCGTTCAGCCCCGCCCCGCCCCGCGCCTCCGCCAGCTCCGCGAGGCAGCGCTCGTCGCGGCGAGCCACGCGGAAAATGTCATCACGCGCACGGCCTGCGAAGCAACGCATCCTAATCGCGATTCGCGAGCGACTGGCCCCGAGGGCGAAGGCAAGCCACGCGACGTCGCACATCGCCGCCCACGACGCCTACTGCGACGCAGTCTGGTTCGAAAAATCAGCGGCGCGGCTGCGCGCGCAACTGCGGGCCCACCGCGGCCGGCGCGCCACGCGCCGCCGCGAACGCCTGCACATGCCGTTGTATTCCGCGGGCGCCGCGCACGCGCCGCTGCCTAGACTCCTCCACGCCTGCGAAATACACGACCCCGCGCGGCCGCGCGCCGATGAGCTACCGCGCCGCCCAGCCACTGGACATGATCCGAAATCCAGCTTACACGGGGCTGCGCACGGCCACGATGCCTTGCACTTCCACGAAAATGCCTGCGCAAAACTGCCACGGGGCAACGCAAACAGCCGCGCCTCCCATCCAGCGGCGCGCGCCTCGATCTCTGCAGGCGACATGTCGCGCGCGTCGACGTCGCCGCACCATCCTGCGCAGGCCGCGCGCGAGCGCGCTAGGGGGCGCACCTGCTCAAAATGCAGTCGCGCCATCGTAATCCGACGGCGGAGAGCACGCCCCCGACTGCAAGTCGCCGAGCGGAGCAGGCCACCGTGCTCAACGGACGCTGCCGAGCGCCGCGGTTCGATCCCATTCGCGCGGGCACCTGGACTGCAAGGGTGACTGGCGGCAGCGTTCAGCATGTCACGCCAGCCACCGGCAGCGTCGTCCGCGACGCGCGAAAACAGGCGCCGAAAACCCAAGGGAGCGGTGCACTTGGTAACGTCGCGGGGGCCCCCTCCAGCGAAGACTCGCTGCAAAATTCGGACGTGGGCCATTGTGTACGCCGCCTGCGTCGCGCGGCCGGCCACGAGACCAGCGCGCGCCCCTCCGCCCGTCCTCGTTCAATTCTTCCCGCAATATCGACGCCGCGAGGTCATGCTCGAGACGAGCAGCGGCGGCCCGCCCGAGGCGTTGCACCGTGGCGCGGGCGTCGGCGACCAGCGCGGGCGTCGCGCGCTGCTGGGCTGCCACGCCGCCAATAATCGCACCTGCCCCATCGGGGAAAACAGGCTGCGCGGTGGCTGCGCCCGCCAGCAGGGCGCAAGCCATTGCGCGCGCTGCAGTGAGCATACCAAGCTGGCAACCCCGCGCAGCTCGATGCGCCCTTCTCGACAACCACTCCAATGCCGCGCTGAGAGCCCCGGCGACTTGCCGCTCGCGGAGCGAGGCCACCGCGCGAAAATCGCGCACCGAGGCCCTCGCCGAGGCGGCGCGGCCGCGCCGCTCCGCGCGTGCCACCAGCACGCGCCACATCGCGCAGCGAGGCTCCACTCCCTTGGCGGCACGAGATCCCAAAGCGAAAACTGCTTTCCGAAGCCCCCGCTAGGCGCGACGCAGACGCGCTGTCCCCGCGCGCGCCGATCTGCGCGGAGCCTCTACCGCCCCCACCAACAAATGCCCCCCCGGCCCCCTGGCGCGCCGCCCGAGGGGGTGCTCCGCGGGATGGTTGCAACGGAATCCCGTTCAATGCTGCGGAGCCGCCGCGACTTCTGCGGGGACCACGGAAAACCCCGCACAACCGCCAGGAGACCAACAGCAGCGGGCGAATCAGAAGGAACTCCAAGCATGTCATGGAACTCTGGAGGGTCGAAAGGAATCGCAAGGACACCTGCAGAATCTCAAGGGGACCGGCGCCGCAAACAATGAGGAATGAAACTGACGGGGTGCTGCCCAGAGGGGCGCGGGCGCGCAAATGCACCTGGAAACAAACTGCTTGCTGGCCCTTGAGCGGGATGGCATTCTGAGTCGTGTTGAGGGGGGCGAAGCGCGGGCAACGTTCTTTCACTTCTCCCGCGAGAGGTCTAGCAGGCCCCGTCCTCGGCGATCCCCCTGCGGCAGTTCCGACATGGGGCGGGGTGCCAAACCCCGCGAGGGCGCGCCAATGGCGCTTCATCCAGGAAGCTGCCGTTAAACATGAATGATGGCGTCGGAGGCCGCGCCAAAGCAGCGCGACAACATGCTGAATATCGACGGGGGGACGAAGGAATAATATGACAATGCTAAGAACTATGGGGCGATATAATAACCGCGCTTGAAACGGGCGGCGGGGGATGTGGAGAAGCACCAACAGAAGAAGCGCAAAAAGGAGGGGCACGCGAACCGATCGACGATCCGGGGGGCGCTACAAGCCGTTCGGAAAGATCGTAGTCGACGAGAAGGCGGCGATGCCGACGCTTACGTCACGGGGAAAATATCGCCAAGGGCTGCCTGGCGCCGCACAAAGCAGGAAGCGCACTGGCAACCAGCCGTTCATGAAGTGCAATGCCATGGCCAAGAGGGTCGAGCTCATGCACCTCGAGGGCGGCTTCGACGAGTTCAGCCGCATGATCGACACTGCCGACTTCGAGGCGCCTGCGGCCCTGGCAACCCCTGCGCCGACGCCGCCGACTGGCGGGGGGGATGCGCCCAGGCGGCCAGAGCAACCGAATGTGGCAGCGATCGGAAACAGGGCTGCATCGCGGGCGCGGACGGCGAGAAAAAGCTCGCCTAAACGGTGGCTGCAGGTAAGAAGACGCTCAGGCAGAGGCTAGAGGTGACGGCCAAGGATGCCCAGGCTGCGGTGCATGCCAGCATGGACCTGGGCAAGGGGTCCAAGACCGCGGGGAACCTCAAGCTGAGCATGATCAAGGCGATTGCAGGCTACCACGACATCAAGACGGGCCCGAAAAAAAATTGGCACGCACGATGGCGACGCTCCAGCCCCTCGTGGGACCTCGAGGTGTCGATCGAGGCGGCTCGCCGCGGCAATGAGTGCACGACTCCCTGGGCCAGTAAAGTGAACATAGGAAGGGGATTGGATCGATCATGCAAATGACGCCTGTGCCCCCATCCGCCGCCCCGCTGCGCGAGACTAAAGCTCGAGGGTTCCACCCCTACACCCCGCCGCAAAGACCCCGCCGCAGAATAGCTAGGAGCAGGAGTCGGCATAACTGTCCGCCCACCACTGCCGCCCCTGGCAAGGTTAGGATGCAACGTGCACGCCGCCTAATGTTACAACAAAGCACAATACAAATAAGAAAGGTCACAATATTTGTCTTGACCGCCGCGCCCACCCGGCCCCGCCCCGAGGTGCGCGCGCGGGCAGAGGGCAGCTGCATGGCTGGGAGACGGCGTGAAAATCGGAAGTGAGGGGGTGAGATCGAAGTGTAACGGAGAGCCCCCCTGCCGGGAAATCGGTTTCGGTTTCGTGTTCGTGCGTGCCGTGCGCGAAGCTGCGTGGGCGGGCGAAAGGAAAGTCTCCTGTGGCTGAGGCGTGGCCAAACCAAATAATCCCCTTCCGGCAACTGGTGCCGCGCGGTGCGCCGCCGGCGTCCCGCCTCTGGCAGAGGCGCGGCCGGGCCAAATGATTCCCTTCGGGCGTCTGGTGCCGCGCGGTGCCCCGCCGGTGTCCCGATGATGATGATGATGATGATGATGGCGATGATGATGTCGATGCTGTTGATGATGATGATGATGGTGGTGGTGATGATGGTGGTGGTGGTGATGATGGTGTCCCGATGGTGATGATGATGATGTTGTTGACGACGATGCTGATGATGATGCTGGTGGTGCTGATGATGGTGTCCCGGTGATGATGATGCTGATGATGCTGATGTTGCTGATGATTGATGTCCCGATGGTGATGGCGATGGAAGATGATAATGATGGTCTCCCGATGATGATGGTGATGATGGGATTGATGATGATGATGTTGATGCTTATGGTGCTGATGATGCCGATAGTGTCACGATGAGGATTGTGATTGTGCTGATGATGCTGTTGACGATGATGGTGTCCCGATCATGGTGATGTTGATGATGAGGTGAATATGATGATTGTGATGATGGTGGCCCGATGATGATGCTGTTGTTGATGATTATGACGGTGCCCCGATGATGATGATGGTGATGGTGATGATGGAGACGATCATGATCGTGTCCCGATGATGATGTTGCTGATCATGTTGTTCATGATGATGGTGGTGGTGTTCCGATGCTGATGATGATGACGGTGTCCCGATGAGGATGATGTTGATGATGCTGATGGTGACGATGATGGTGTCCCGATGATGATGATGATGCTGGTGTCCCGGTGATGATGCTGTTGATGACGTTGATGTTGATGATGGTGGTGTTGACGTTGATTGTGAGATCGACTGTGATAGCGATAGTGAGACCGAATGTGAGATCGATCGTGAATAGTCAGATCGATTGTGAGATCGAACGAATGCAATAGATCGAGTGAGATCGACTGTGAGATCGATCGAGTGAGATCGATCGAGCGAGACCGATAGTGAGATCGATAGTGAGACCGATCGAGTGAGACACTGCCCCCCCGCCCCCGAACCTCCTCATCGCCCGAAGGGTGGTCGTATAGGTATACGTGTGTGTATATTTATAAGCATACATGTATATACATGCACAAAACTGTTGCGTCGGCGGCTGGGCAGTAGGCGACTGCGCTGGCGATGAAACGCATGGGCGGAGCGAATTGCGCCGCCATGCAAGAGGGGGGGGGGGGGGTCGGCTGGGCCCGCCGCACGGCGCGCGGCGGCCGCTGCACAACTGGGCCCGGGGCGGCGGGGCCCAGCGCGGAAAAACAAGTCTCGGGTGACGAGTGCGTGACGGGTTCAAATCCGAGGCTGCTCAACCCCATCGCGGGCCCGTTGGGAGCCACGGGGCCACGGCGCCAGCGGCGAGCGGCAGGACTGGGCCCGGGGCCGGCGCGGGCGTCGGCAGCTGGCGGCGTCAGCGGGGCCGGCAGCGCCTTGGCGGCGCGGAGCGAGGGGGGGCGAGCGAGAGGGAGGTGGCGAACAGGGGGGAGGACGCCCCGCCAGCGGGCCCACAGGTGGGGCGGCATGCGCCAGGGGGGCGGCGCGAAGGCCAGCGGGTGGGAGGGGGCGAACTGGGAGGAGGACGCCCCACCAGTGGGCCCACAGGGGGGCTGGCATGCGCCCAAGGATGCGGCGCGAAGGCCAGCGGGTAATTGGCGAGTGGGGCCACGGCGCTGATGGGTCAGGCGCGCAACGAACTGTTGCAAGTCGGTGGTGTGACGGCGCGCCTCCGAAGGGGCATGGAGGTGCGCCGGCGCCCGGGCGGCTGGCGCGGCTGGGGCGCCAAGGCGGCGCGGGCGGGCGCGGGTTTTCACGTCGAGCGTCCGCGCCGTTTTTTAGAGGCGCGGCGGCCCTCGCAGCCCGCTTGGCACGCCGCGAAAGCTGCGCGCATTAGTGCAGCGTCGCGCGGGCGCCTTGCGAGAAATCCATGCAATTCATATAGCGCGCTTCCTCCCTGCGGGACCCGGCGCGTCGGAAAGTCGAGCGCTGCGCAGCTGACTCGTGGAAAACAAAAGCCACCGCGCGGAAGCAAAGCGTTCCGACAGTGGCACTCGCGCAGCGGGAATGGGGCGCGGCGCGCGCGACGCGCGATTGATTTTGTTGAAGACGCGTTCGGGGCAAAACTTCGGCGGGAGATGCCGCGTTAGTTTTTTGTTGTCATCGAATGGTTTCATTTTGGTTTTGCACATAGGATTGGGCCCGCTGGCTCGCGCGGGCTGCTTCTTTTTTTATATAAGCGCGTGTTTCGCATATACAAGGAAGGGGGCTGGAAGGGGGGGCAGGGGCGACCCCGCCAGGCCGCCGAGGGGGCTCAGCTTCAGCTCGCTGACCCTGCAACAGTTCGGCGCGACTTCAGACCCGTGGCGGAAGGGAGAGAAACGGCCCGCCCTGGTGAAAGGTGCAGATCTTGAGCCAGGCACGACTTCAGAATTTGAAGATGCCACAACAATATCCGAAATCTGAAGGCAACTACCGTCAGGGTACTCTGTCGGTCGGCACATCTACCCCGCGGCGGAAGGCATGGCGATGTCGTCAGATTCCGGGCGCGCTGCACTTGCGTCGCGGTCGGCTGCGATCGGCGCCCCGTGCTTCGGGCGTTATGTGGGCGTGTCCAGTCCCTGCTGCAAGCGTCCGTCGTCGTCGTCGTCGTCGCCGTCGTCGTCGGGGGGCCGCGGGGGAGCCCCGGGGGGGCCCCTGGCGACCCTCCTGGCAGCCCCCCTGGCGACCCCCCTGGCGACCCGCGACGGCGACGGCGACGGCGGCGGCGACGGTGGCGGCGGCGGCGGCGGCGGCGACAGCGACAGCGACTTTGGCGTGACCCCCCTGGCGGGTGCACCCCCCTGGCGGGTGCAACCCCCCTGGCGGGTGCACCCCCCTGGCGGGTGCCACCCCCCTGGCGGGTGCCACCCCCCTGGCGGGTGCCACCCCCCTGGCGGGTGCCCCCCCCCTGGCGGGCGCCACCCCCCTGGCGGGCGCCACCCCCCTGGCGGGTGCCACCCCCCTGGCGGGTGCCACCCCCCCTGGCGGGCGCAACCCCCCTGGCGGGCGCAACCCCCCTGGCGGGTGCAACCCCCCTGGCGGGTGCCACCCCCCTGGCGGGTTGCACCCCCCTGGCGGGTGCCCCCCCCTGGCGGGTGCCACCCCCCTGGCGGGTGCCACCCCCCTGGCGGGTTGCCACCCCCCATGGCGGGTGCCACCCCCTGGGGGTCCACCCCTGGCGGCGCCACCCCCCTGGCGGGTGCCACCCCCCTGGCGGGTGCAAACCCCCCTGGCGGGTGCAACCCCCCTGGCGGGTGCCACCCCCCTGGCGGGTGCCACCCCCCTGGCGGGTGCCACCCCCCTGGCGGGGTGCCACCCCCCTGGCGGGTGCCACCCCCCTGGCGGGTGCCACCCCCCTGGCGGGTGCCACCCCCCTGGCGGGTGCCACCCCCCTGGCGGGTGCCACCCCCCTGGCGGGTGCACCCCCCCTGGCGGGTGCAACCCCCCTGGCGGGTGCAACCCCCCTGGCGGGTGCAACCCCCCTGGCGGGTGCCACCCCTGGCGGGCGCGACCCCCCTCGGGGCTGCGACCCTCCCGGGGCTGCGACCCCCCTCGGGGCTGCGACCCCCGTCGGGGCACGTCGCTGGAGGGCCTCGCGCCTCCACGCCTCCACGTTTCTCCTCCTGCTCCTCCTCCTCCTTCTCCTCCTCGTCGTCCTCCTCCTCCCTCCTCCGCCTCCGCCTCCGCCTCCTCCCCCTCCTCCTCCTCCTCCTCCTCCTCCTCCTCCTCCTCCTCCTCCTCCTCCTCCTCCTCCTCCCTTTTTTTCAAACTGGGTCGTCGCTTACGCAGACGGGGCGCCCAACGTCGCACCTGACCAGTCGGGCCGAACCGAACCAGAGCGGCCACTCGAACCGAACCGAACCGGTCGGACCCAACCGCGCGAAAACCGGAACCGAACCGAACCGGCGGCAGGCCCAAGCCGAACCGGCCGAAACCGGACCGATGCCAAACCGAACCGGCCAAGCAAAACCGACCCGGCTGCAGAACCGGACCGAACCGAACCGAGCCGATCCCTTCATGTGAATGATGGCGTCGGAGGCCGCGCAAGGAATAATATGACAATGCTAAGAACTATGGGGCGATAGAAGAGCCGCGCTTGAAACGGGCGGCGGGGGATGTGGAGAAGCACCAACAGAAGAAGCGCAAAAAGGAGGGGCACGCGAACCGATCGACGATCCAGGGGGGCGCTACAAGCCGTTCGGAAAGATCGTAGTCGACGAGAAGGCGGCGATGCCGACGCTTACGTCACGGGGGAAAATATCGCCAAGGGCTGCCTGGCGCCGCACAAAGCAGGAAGCGCACTGGCAACCAGCCGTTCATGAAGTGCAATGCCATGGCCAAGAGGGTCGAGCTCATGCACCTCGAGGGCGGCTTCGACGACTTCAGCCGCATGATCGACACTGCCGACTTCGAGGCGCCTGCGGCCCCGGCAACCCCTGCGCCGACGCCGCCGACTGGTGGGGGGGATGCGCCCAGGCGGCCAGAGCAACCGAATGTGGCAGCGATCGGAAACAGGGCTGCATCGCGGGCGCGGACGGCGAGAAAAAGCTCGCCTAAACGGTGGCTGCAGGTTAGAAGACGCTCAGGCAGAGGCTAGAGGTGACGGCCAAGGATGCCCAGGCTGCGATGCATGCCAGCATGGACCTGGACAAGGGGTCCAAGACCGCGGGGAACCTCAAGCTGAGCATGATCAAGGCGATTGCAGGCTACCACGACATCAAGACGGGCCCGAATAAAAATTGGCACGCACGATGGCGACGCTCCAGCCCCTCGAGGACCTCGAGGTGTCGATCGAAGCGGCTCGCCGCGGCAATGAGTTCACGACTCCCTGGGCCAGTAAAGTGAACATAGGAAGGGGATTGGATCGATCATACAAATGACGCCTGTGCCCCCATCCGCCGCCCCGCTGCGCGAGACTAAAGCTCGAGGGTTCCACCCCTACACCCCGCCGCAAAAAGACCCCGCCGCATAATAGCTAGGAGCAGGAGTCGGCATAACTGTCCGCCCACCACTGCCGCCCCTGGCAAGGCTAGGATGCAACGTGCACGCCGCCTAATGTTACAACAAAGCACAATACAAATAAGAAAGGTCACAATATTTGTCTTGACCGCCGCGCCCACCCGGCCCCGCCCCGAGGTGCGCGCGCGGGCAGAGGGCAGCTGCATGGCTGGGAGACGGCGTGAAAATCGGAGGTGAGGGGGTGAGATCGAAGTGTAACGGAGAGCCCCCCTGCCGGGAAATCGGTTTCGGTTTCGTGTTCGTGCGTGCCGTGCGCGAAGCTGCGTGGGCGGGCGAAAGGAAAGTCTCCTGTGGCTGAGGCGTGGCCAAACCAAATAATCCCCTTCCGGCAACTGGTGCCGCGCGGTGCGCCGCCGGCGTCCCGCCTCTGGCAGAGGCGCGGCCGGGCCAAATGATTCCCTTCGGGCGTCTGGTGCCGCGCGGTGCCCCGCCGGTGTCCCGATGATGATGATGATGATGATGATGGCGATGATGATGTCGATGCTGTTGATGATGATGATGATGATGATGATGGTGGTGGTGGTGATGATGGTGTCCCGATGGTGATGATGATGATGATGTTGACGATGCTGATGATGATGCTGGTGGTGCTGATGATGGTGTCCCGGTGATGATGATGCTGATGATGCTGATGTTGCTGATGATTGATGTCCCGATGGTGATGGCGATGGAAGATGATAAGGATGGTCTCCCGATGATGATGGTGATGATGGGATTGATGATGATGATGTTGATGATTATGGTGCTGATGATGCCGATAGTGTCACGATGAGGATTGTGATTGTGCTGATGATGCTGTTGACGATGATGGTGTCCCGATCATGGTGATGTTGATGATGAGGTGAATATGATGATTGTGATGATGGTGGCCCGATGATGATGCTGTTGTTGATGATTATGACGGTGCCCCGATGATGATGATGGTGATGGTGATGATGGAGACGATCATGATCGTGTCCCGATGATGATGTTGCTGATCATGTTGTTCATGATGATGGTGGTGGTGTTCCGATGCTGATGATGATGACGGTGTCCCGATGAGGATGATGTTGATGATGCTGATGGTGACGATGATGGTGTCCCGATGATGATGATGATGCTGGTGTCCCGGTGATGATGCTGTTGATGACGTTGATGTTGATGATGGTGGTGTTGACGTTGATTGTGAGATCGACTGTGATAGCGATAGTGAGACAGAATGTGAGATCGATCGTGAATAGTCAGATCGATTGTGAGATCGAACGAATGCAATAGATCGAGTGAGATCGATTGTGAGATCGATCGAGTGAGATCGATCGAGCGAGACCGATAGTGAGACCGATCGATAGTGAGACACTGCCCCCCCGCCCCCGAACCTCCTCATCGCCCGAAGGATGGTCGTATAGGTATACGTGTGTGTATATTTATAATCATACATGTATATACATGCACAAAACTGTTGCGTCGGCGGCTGGGCATTAGGCGACTGCGCTGGCGATGAAACGCATGGGCGGAGCGAATTGCGCCGCCATGCAAGAGGGGGGGGGGGGGGGGTCGGCTGGGCCCGCCGCTCGGCGCGCGGCGGCCGCTGCACAACTGGGCCCGGGGCGGCGGGGCCCAGCGCGGAAAAACAAGTCTCGGGTGACGAGTGCGTGACGGGTTCAATCCGAGGCTGCTCAACCCCATCGCGGGCCCGTTGGGAGCCACGGGGCCACGGCGCCAGCGGCGAGCGGCAGGACTGGGCCCGGGGCCGGCGCGGGCGTCGGCAGCTGGCGGCGTCAGCGGGGCCGGCAGCGCCATGGCGGCGCGGAGCGAGGGGGGGCGAGCGAGAGGGAGGCGGCGAACAGGGGGGAGGACGCCCCGCCAGCGGGCCCACAGGTGGGGCGGCATGCGCCAGGGGGGCGGCGCGAAGGCCAGCGGGTGGCAGGGGGCGAACTGGGAGGAGGACGCCCCACCAGTGGGCCCACAGGTGGGGCGGCATGCGCCAAGGAGGCGGCGCGAAGGCCAGCGGGCAATGGGCGAGTGGGGCCACGGCGCTGATGTGTCAGGCGCGCAACGAACTGTTGCAAGTCGGCGGTGTGACGGCGCACCTCCGAAGGGGCATGGAGGTGCGCCGGCGCCCGGGCGGCTGGCGCCCAGGCGGCTGGCGCGGGCGGGCGCGGGTTTTCACGTCGAGCGTCCGCGCCGCACTTCAAAGGCGCGGCGGCCCTCGCAGCCCGCTTGGCACGCCGCGAAAGCTGCGCGCATTAGCGCAGCGTCGCGCGGGCGTCTGGCGAGAAATCCATGCAATTCATATAGCGCGCTTCCTCCCTGCGGGACCCGGCGCGTCGGAAAGTCGAGCGCTGCGCAGCTGGCCCGTGGAAAACAAGAGCCACCGCGCGGAAGCAAAGCGTTCCGACAGTGGCACTCGCGAAGCGGGAATGGGGCGCGGCGCGCGCGACGCGCGATTGATTTTGTTGAAGACGCGTTCGGGGCAAAACTTCGGCGGGAGATGCCGCGTTAGTTTTTTGTTGTCGTCGGAATGGTTTCATTTTGGTTTTGCACATAGGATTGGGCCCGCTGGCTCGCGCGGGCTGCTTCTTTTTTTATATAAATGTATTAGTATTGGTTTCCAATAGTTTTTTTTGGCGCGCGTGTTTCGCATATACAAGGAAGGGGGCTGGAAGGGGGGGCAGGGGCGACCCCGCCAGGCCGCCGAGGGGGCTCAGCTTCAGCTCGCTGACCCTGCAACAGTTCGGCGCGACTTCAGACCCGTGGCGGAAGGGAGAGAAACGGCCCGCCCTGGTGAAAGGTGCAGATCTTGAGCCAGGCACGACTTCAGAATTTGAAGATGCCACAACAATATCCGAAATCTGAAGGCAACTACCGTCAGGGTACTCTGTCGGTCGGCACATCCACCCCGCGGCGGCAAGGCATGGCGATGTCGTCAGATTCCGGGCGCGCTGCACTTGCGTCGCGGTCGGCTGCGATCGGCGCCCCGTGCTTCGGGCGTTATGTGGGCGTGTCCAATCCCTGCTGCGGTCGCGGCCACGCGCCGCCTGCGCGCGCCTGAATAGTTAACCGCGTGCATTTCCCTATGCAGATGTCGCGGGTGAGGCCAGCTGCGCTAGGCGATCGACTCATGCCCTCCCGGCCCCCGCTCAGACAAACAGACGGGGCCGCGTTCCATGGACCAACGAAAAGAACCCCAGTCGCCATCGAGCACAGCATCATCGTGTTTGTTCGGTGCCCGGGCCGAAGCGCTAGTTGATGCATGCCGTCCGTTCCCCATTGATTCCAACGCCTTGCGCATGGGTTAGCAGCGACGATTAGCGAAGAAGCAAGTCGGACAGCGCGCGGCCGACCAGCCGCGCGAGAAGGCCCGCGCGTTGGCAAGCCCGCCGCAGGGCCGTGACCAGAGCGGGCGAATGTACTAAACATGTGTTTCGCTTTTCGGATATATCACTATGTGCTTTATGTATTGTGCCAACGACAAATCGTTAATCAACCTGCCTAAGTCCGCGCGTCATTCATCGTGTCCCTCGTAAGCGCTGCTCGCGCGTTCAGCCCCGCCCCGCCCCGCGCCTCCGCCAGCTCCGCGAGGCAGCGCTCGTCGCGGCGAGCCACGCGGAAAATGTCCTCACGCGCACGGCCTGCGAAGCAACGCATCCTAATCGCGATTCGCGAGCGACTGGCCCCGAGGGCGAAGGCAAGCCACGCGACGTCGCACATCGCCGCCCACGACGCCTTCTGCGACGCAGTCTGGTTCGAAAAATCAGCGGCGCGTCTGCGCGCGAAACTGCGGGCCCACCGCGGCCGGCGCGCCACGCGCCGCCGCGAACGCCTGCACATGCCGTTGTATTCCGCGGGCGCCGCGCACGCGCCGCTGCCTTGACTCCTCCACGCCTGCGAAATACACGACCCCGCGCGGCCGCGCGCCGATGAGCTACCGCGCCGCCCAGCCACTGGACATGATCCGAAATCCAGCTTACACGGGGCTGCGCACGGCCACGATGCCTTGCACTTCCACGAAAATGCCTGCTCAAAACTGCCACGGGGCAACGCAAACAGCCGCGCCTCCCATCCAGCGGCGCGCGCCTCGATCTCTGCAGGCGACATGTCGCGCGCGTCAACGTCGCCGCACCATCCTGCGCAGGCCGCGCGCGAGCGCGCTAGGGGGCGCACCTGCTCAATATGCAGTCGCGCCATCGTAATCCGACGGCGGAGAGCACGCCCCCGACTGCAAGTCGCCGAGCGGAGCAGGCCACCGTGCTCAACGGACGCTGCCGAGCGCCGCGGTTCGATCCCATTCGCGCGGGCACCTGGACTGCAAGGGTGACCGGCGGCAGCGTTCAGCAGGTCACGCCAGCCACTGGCAGCGTCGTCCGCGACGCGCGAAAACAGGTGCCGAAAACCCAAGGGAGCGGTGCACTTGGTAACGTCGCGGGGGCACCCTCCAGCGAAGACTCGCTGCAAAATTCGGACGTGGGCCATTGTGTACGCCGCCTGCGTCGCGCGGCCGGCCACGAGACCAGCGCGCGCTCCTCCGCCCGTCCTCGTTCAATTCTTCCCGCAATATCGACGCCGCGAGGTCATGCTCGAGACGAGCAGCGGCGGCCCGCCCGAGGCGTTGCACCGTGGCGCGGTCGTCGGCGACCAGCGCGGGCGTCGCGCGCTGCTGGGCTGCCACGCCGCCAATAATCGCACCTGCCCCATCGGGGAAAACAGGCTGCGCGGTGGCTGCGCCCGCCAGCAGGGCGCAAGCCATTGCGCGCGCTGCAGTGAGCATACCAAGCTGGCAACCGCGCGCAGCTCGATGCGCCCTTCTCGACAACCACTCCAACGCCGCGCTGAGAGCCCCGGCGCCTTGCCGCTCGCGCAGCGAGGCCACCGCGCGAAAATCGCGCACCGAGGCCCTCGCCGAGGCGGCGCGGCCGCGCCGCTCCGCGCGTGCCACCAGCACGCGCCACATCGCGCAGCGAGGCTCCACTCCCTTGGCGGCACGAGATCCCAATGCGAGCGGTCGCAGACTGGCCCTCGTTCACAGCGCGGGCGGATTTGTGCCAAGCAATAACTTCGTTATTCCGACCCAAAAGAACCGCGGCCACTCTAGCTGGATTCCCCCGCGCGTCGGAGAGCAATTGGACAGACCTGGTGTCTGGCGCCTGCCACTCCCGCGTCGTGGTGAAATTTCTGGCGAGCGCTTCGTGCCACCATTGCAGGCAGACTCGCAGGTGCGCCGGGATACTAGGATGGCGCGCCCTTGCGTGCTCAAACAACGGCGGGAGCAGCGCGCGCCCGAACCGCCCGAAGGTGTGGGAGGCAGCCCAACAGAAGCGGCCTGCCAACTTGGACGCGCGCCCGCGCTCGAGCGCGCCCTCTTGAAGAGCAGCAGCGATCTCGGCGCGCCACCGGGCGCGCTTCTCCGGCAGCGGCCAGCACACGAGGCCACGCTCGTCAATCGCCACAGACAAGCCCAGGACCCCGAGCGGATTGCCGAACAGCAGCTTACCGTCGGCCACAGCGCTCGGGCCCAGAATGATTCTTACCAGTTCGGCGAACTGTCGCATTGCGTCGCGCAGCCCTTTCTTACGTTCGGGGCAGAAGAAGTCGTCCACATATCTGAGGACGGGGACGAAAATGAGCCTGCGGCCCAGCGCTGACAGCATCGCGCCGATGCGCTCCCAGCTGTGAACGGAGGAAGTCGCTCCGAATGGGGCGGCGAAGTGCTGAGCCACGTAGACGCATGTGCCCACGAGGAACGCGACCCATGCGAGGGCGCGATGTTCCGGCAACAGCGGCACGCGCCGGAACGCGGCGTCTATGTCCGCCTTCCAGAGCCCGGGCGCTTCGCCCACGCGCGTCACAAATGCCTTGCAAGTGCCAAACAGAGCGTCGATGGCTTCATGGCCGAGACGCTCCGTCGGCTGCGACGCCGCGTTGATACGAGAGCGCGACATATCATCTACGAGCCGCAGCTTCTCGGACCCGTCCTCTCTCGACTGCCGGACGCCGAACCGCGGCGACAAAACCGCACCGTCGAGCTCGACCGCGCTGAGCGGCGCGGGATGGCTCATTCGGCCGAGCTCCGCTTCGGCGATAGTTTTGGTGAGAATCACGGCGGAGTCGCTAGACTCCTTGAGCGTGCCGAGCAGCGCGGCGTTGCCTCGCTCCGCGCCCGCGGCCAAGTCCGGCAGGCTGAGCGGTACAGGGAAAGATTCCGGACGCCCGTTCCCCGTGCACGGGAGAGGGCCCACGAGAGGCGCGCCGCGCCGAAAGACTTCCACGCAGGCCGCGTCCTCGTAACCGATTTCGTCGAGCAGTTCGACGAGAAGAGGGCCGTTGATCGACCCTGCGATTGTGCGCACATGGGCATCGCAGCCCGCGAACCAGGCCGCCGTCGCTCCAGAGGCGCGTAGCTCGGCGTCCCTGGCCCGAATTCGCTCGAGAGTCGCTCGCCGCTCACGGCACACCTGCCGCTCCGAGCGCGCAGCAATCCAATCGATCGCCGCCAAAACATCGCCGGGCACCACCACGGCCTTTTCAAAGGCCTCTTTGTCCTCGAAGGAGTGAGAACGGGAGAAAGTATACACATATATACTTATATATATATATATATATATATATATATACTTCCCAGGGGGGGGTCTTTAAATCAGCGCGGGGGGAGGAGGGGGGGGGCGGGGGCGGGGCGGGGGTTGGGGTGGAGGGGGGGCGGGCGGGGCGCGCGCGCGCGGGTGGGGCAGGGGGAGGGGGGCGATCTTTAATGCGAGAGAATCTATGGATGGGGGGCAGCGCGCGCGCGGCCTACGAGGGCTGGCTACGAGGGGGCAACCTACGGTGCAGTTGACTACCCTGCACCGCGCTTGACCGCATCCACTGCTCGCGCAAACATCCCACCCACCCACCCGCAACTTGGTTTGCAAAATGACTTATGACCGTGGCGGTGGGCACCAAATTGCACTTGGCAACGACAGCGACGCCGACGACGACAGCGACGACGACGACGACGACGACGCCGCCGACGCCGACTACGACGACACCGACGACGTCTCCAACGACTTCGACGACGCCGACAACGACGACGACGACGACGCCGACGCCGACGACGACGACGACGCCGACGCCGACGCCGACGACGACGATGACAACGACGACGATGTTCACGACGCCGACGACGCCGACGACGACGACGACGTCAACGACGCCGACGCCGACGCCGACGACGGCGGCGACGACGACGACGCCGTCGACGACGACGAAGACGACGACGACGCCGACGCCGACGACGACGACGAAGACGACGACGACGTCGCCAACGAAGACGAAGAGGGGGGAGGAAGGACGACAACGACGACAACGACGACGACGACGAGGGAGGAGGGAGGACGGCGACAACGCAAACGACGAGGAAGGAGGAAGGACGGCGACGCCGACGACGACAACGACGAGGGAGGAAGGAAGACGACGACGACGACGGCGACAACGACGACGACGGAAACGAAGTAGGAGGCACGACGACCAGGCGCCGACGACGGACGACGACGACGACGAGGGAGGAGGAAGGACGACCACGGCGACAACGACGACGGAAACGACGACGACGCCAAAGAGGACGACAACGAACGAGGAAATACAAAGGACGACGTAGGCGTCGACGACGCCGACGCGGGAGGAGGGAGGACGGCGACGACGACGACGACGACGACGCAAGAGCGCGCGCGCGCTTTTGTTGAACAACATCCGCGTTGCGAAACTTTTTTATATATAAAGGCACGCGATTGTGTAATCCTTCCGAAATCGATGGGTTTTGAAGGATTTCGGCATGCGGGCGCGACGACGCGCGCGTCTGCACTTCGTCTCGTTTTTCCCAAAAAGGATTCTCGCGACGGCGCGCGCGCAAGGGCGTTCGACAGATTCCGACATGCGCGCGCGAAATACGTTTGGTAGCATGTTGTGGCCATCTTGGGAAACCTATTGTTTCTGAAGGTTACGCAAGAGCTTGCGCGTAAGCTGTTTTAGCAAATCAGCGTTGCGAAATCGATTGCGAAATCCTTCCGACACCGAAGGTTTTTGAAGGATTTCGGCATGCGCGCGCGACGACGCGCGCGCGCGCACTTCGCCCCGTTTTTTAACAAGGGATTCGCAAACAAGTGCTATGTCATGAGAATCTATGTCCCCGCGTATTGGTTTTCACAAGGGAACCTCAGGGGGACCGATCCTGGTACCTCTGAGATATTGTTAATTCATATTTAGGATGGGCATGCGGTCAGAATCATATATGATTTACATGCCCGAAAGGAAAACGGATAACGCCGGGGGAGGGGGGGGCGCCAGCGGCGGCACCGCGTGGCGGAAGGCAGCCAGTGGATGGGTGCACCTCATGGGAACAAACGATAAGAGCGCAGCCAATGATGGCAGCCAACCCGGGCAGCCTATGAGAGCATCCGACGCGAGCAGCCCATGGGTGGGGGCAGCTCGCGGGGGGGCAGCCGACGCGGGCAACCTGCCGGAGCAAGCTATGGGAGCAGCCCGTGGGGGCAGCCTGCGGGGGGCAGCCTGTGGGCGCAGCCTGCGGGGGCGCCCCGCGAGGGCAGCCGATCGGAAACAGCCTGTCGATGGGGGCAGTCGATGGGGGCAGCGCGTGGGCGCGCCCGATGCGGGCTGTTCACGGGCGAGGGCAGCCTGTGGAGGCAGCCTGCGGGTGCCTCCCATGGGGGCAGCCCGGGAAGCGGCCTATGGACGGGGGCAACCCATGGAAGCCGCGCGCAGGAAGACGCCCGCAGGAAGCCAAACATTGGAAACGGAGGATATCAAGAGGATCAGGAGGTAGAAGGAGGCGACCTGGAGAAAAATGATGAAGGGCAAGGCGAGGGGGGCGGAGGATGAAGGAGGAACGAGAGCTGGAACATAACCAATTCGAGCATAACGACGATAATTAAGCAGGGGATCAGGGGGATAACAATCCCCCTCGATCCTCGATCCCCCATCCTCGACCCTGCCCGATCTTTACCTTTTGGGGGGTGCTGTTTTCCACGACCTCGATGGGGGTCCCGAGCGATCTGCTTCGAGATCCCAAGCGATTGCGTCATGGACGAAAAAATCGCCCGAGCGCGCGGACGCAGCGGGCACATGTGCACCCAGAAAAGTTCGAGGTTGAAACAAGCTTAACATATTTGTAATACAGCAGCGAATTCTTGTTCTGCAAGCCTGTGCTGTCAGTTGGGGTGATTGGGGCCTCTGTTAGCTTCACTTAGCATCGCTTGGTGCTTGTGGGCGGTCGGAGTAGCGCTGCAAATGAGCCAAGGCCTCAAATCTTGCGCGGTCGCCATGGAGACGCCATGAAGAATTCGAGAGTGTAGGTTTGCAATCGGGGGCTATTGGCTGATTCGGCCGACTTCCCAAGAAAGGCGCGCTGCCGCGCGGAAGCGGAGAAAAAGGGGCACCGCCCCCCGCGGGGTAGCCATCGAGACACCGAGCGGATATACGACCCAAAACACCAGCTCCCGAGCACAACGGCACCACGAAAAGCAGACGCGCGCGCATTGCAACACATTTAACCCAACGAAGCACATTAATAGCAGCTGGGGTGGACGTTTCCAGATGTCCCAGATTTGCAAACGATGAACATGGGCGCAGCCTACGGGCGCAGCCTGCGGGGCAGCCGGCGGGAGCGCCGGCAAGTGCAACATATGTACGCGGGCAGCCTGGGGGCGCGGCCTGCGGGGGCAGCCCATGGGCGCAGCCCATGGAGCTGGGGGGCCCATGGGAGCACCATGCAGAATATTTCACGAGGGCGCCCCAGCGCGGGGGCAGCGCGCGGAGGCAGCCTGCGAAGGCAGCTCATGGA